CAGCTTGATGGCACCTGGTTAGTTCAACCTCTCTTTTGACACTCACCGGAATTTGGCCTTTGAAATTTACTAATGTTTTCCATTTGTACTTCATGCCACTGTTGTTGACTTTCCTGTAGTTGCTGCTGACTTTCTAGCAACTGTTGGAGACTTTCTTCCTGTTTCCTTTCTTGTTCCAGTTGTCTCTGCTGTAATCTCTCTTCTTGTTTATTTTATTTCTCCTCCAACCACTGCTGTAGTCTCTTTTGTTTATTTTGCTGTTCGAGCTGCCACTGTTGCAGGTTTTCTTGCCACTGCTGTTGTCTCTCTTCTTATTTCTTTTCTCGTTCTTCTTGTTTTTTACTTTTTCCTCCAACAACTGATGTAATCTCTCTTCTTGTTTCTTTTCCCGTTCTTCTTGTTTCTTTTCTTTTTCCTCCAACAACTGCTGTAATTTTTCTTCTTGTTTCTTTTCTCGTTCTTCTTGTTTCTTTTCTTTTTCTGTTCTTGTATTGCTGCCATCAAATCTGCTAAGCAGTAATTTGATTTGCCACCTCTTGATTCCATTTTCTTTTTCTTTTTTTATTTTCTGTCCCACTATCTGACACCAATTTGTTATGTCTCTGGTCGTTTGTTAATTTCCCGGTATAAATTCTTCCGGAGGAACTTCAGTGATACAAGTCCTTTCCTAAATAAAACTAGTTTATTCTTTCTTAATACGACTTTGCAATACATAGAATTTCCACAGTCACTTTAACTTCAACACACGCTATAATTCACAACGATTTAAACACTTTACTTACGGCTTGACTCGATTATCTGTCTCTATATCTCTCTTCGATCTGCTATTATCTCCGCTTTATTTGCCGGGCTTATATATTAAAATAGAGGGCGCCTGGAAAAGACTAGAGTTGCCACAAAAAGTCATGATCCTTCTAGAAACTCATGACTATTACGAGCGTCACGTGACTTCCGCTGTCGTAACAACGTAAAGCAATAAAAGAACTTTGAGGATGTGATATTTTGAAGTAAAAAAAAGATTTCCCGATATGTGTCAGATAGACGAACCTGCTAATAACAGCAGATTTGTTTAGGAAATAAAGAGAGTAGTTTTGAATCTGATAACTGAGTTTTCCTAGTGTGTGTATGTTTGTATGCGAAATAATGAGTGTGGACAAAGTTGGTAAGAGTGAAAAACCTCTTTATTATTAGACAAACAAAAAGAAAATTAGCGTACGTATTTGTGAAGACAAAATCACAGTCGTTGTCCCCAGTGGCTCAGCGATAAGGCTGCGGGCTCACACCGTAAAAAACCTGATTACAATATTGGTGGTGGGCTCACAGATTGCCCATTGTGTAACTTTGTGCTTAACAACAAACAGCAAAATCACAATCGCTTCTAATGAAGTGTGCTTAGCTCTGCAATGTTTTTCTCTAAGGAGAGACTTTCATCAGACTAAATAACATGATGTTAGAATATATCTTTATTTGAAGAATTCCAAGTAGAAGTGAACTAAGAATGCGCAATTGAATTGAATAAGTAAATTTAGCTTCTTTGCCAAGTCGACCGTTTCATCTCATGACATTTGCTCTGCCACAGCATTGATTGGCTGTTAGATTTAAACAACGTCAACTCGGCCAGCAAAGGATATTACAGTCGCTAATCTTTTCCAGTAAACGAGAAATTTTCGGAACTTTCCTGGTGGGGATTAAATGAATTATTTAGATTTGTTATAATGTTTGCTAGATGTTGTTGTTATTGCTTTTTTATTTTTTTTAAATTTAATATTAAATTTCACTACATTCTTCCCTCCTCAAAGATCCAGTTTTTTCAATTATTTTGATTTTATTTTTAAAACGGGGGGGGGGGGGCTGTAATCTTGCTTTCAACACATATGCTGTGTTAACGAGTTTTTGGGTCCCATTTTTATACTCAAAATGCATATAAATTGAATAAATGATTTTTTAAAAGAATTCATACGTCACTAAAGCAGGTAGAAAACGTATTGTTACGTTTCCGTTTGTTAATTGAAAGTTACGGAAAAACGTTAAAGTTTCGTTGGAACGTTGTGTTATTGAGATTAAGTGTATCGCAGAGTTATATTCGGAAAGAATAAACCAGTTTTATTAAGTAAAGACCTCGCGCTAAAACAACACTGTAACGAACGAACGTTAACTTCAACAATACCGTGTGACTGCAGTTCAATTACTCACTATCTATCTACCCAGACACGTTACATTCCCCTCTCTTATATACCAGCGTACCCTATTTCTAGTAAGAACTTGAACATTCGCCAAAGTACATGATAGTTCTAGAACCGTTGCGTCACGGTGGTCATGTGACTCGCTGACGCAACAATACAAATCAATGCCATAGGAAGTAAATTTTGAGTGGTCAGGCCATTGCCGCAGCTAAACAATGTGACACACTACCGGCATGCAAAGCAGGTCATTTCTAGGGGGTCTGGGGACATGCCCCACAGAATTTATCTTAAAATTTAATGCTATGAGATTGAATCTTGAGCCTTATCGCTTCCTATAGCCTTGCAAATAAGCCTAGTTCACGATATTTTCAATTATTCCACAAGTCTTCAAAACTGTTCAATCACTCGTGAATATTGTCTAGTTAAAGTACAGAAAATGTGTCGCATTTTGAATAAAAAATCAGTAGGCACTCTGCTATCGAGCTGAGACATGTTAATTGCTCGCTCAGTGTCGCTATTTTGACTACAGCCCCCCAGTGGCACAGCGGTATGTCTGCGGACTTACAACACTAGAATCCGGGTTTCGATACCCGTGGTGGGCAGAGCACAGATAGCCCATTGTGTAGCTTTGTGCTCAGTTACAAACAAACCTTAATGGCGAGTTTGAAATAACCTGGTTTATTTTATTTTCTAATTTCTCTTCTAGCTTTTTACTTCATTGACTACAAGAAAGATTATAGAACCAATGAAATAAACTGCATATATGGAATTCAGAACTGTAAAAAAATCATTATTATGTTCTAAAGTATAAAAAAAGATTGTCACCAAACTAAACCATTTATGATGAAATACCATTTTGACATATTTCTAGTAGTATATTTTCTATAGTTTTCAAATTTTATTTCAAGTTACTTATGACAGTTCAGAGATTACTGTCACGTCTTATGGTTTTCTGAACATAAAGTTTAAATCCCGAATGTAAATAATGGAAATTTTGGCCAATATCGTGTCAAAGTCTCAATGGCGAAACAATACCATACCTTTCGTTTCAGTACAGTGGTATTGTACTTAAAAATTACTCAACGCTCTAAAAAAAACACTAACTGAAGTTAAAGTTTCAAATTAAGTGTTAAAGAGAATCAAGTTGTTGCGTCAGCGAGGTCACGTGACTAGTATCACGCCACGTCCTTCTCTCGAACCTTCGTGAATTATCGGGA